CAATGGCTACAATGTCAAATCATTTGATTTTTAATGGAACAACTAAAAATACTATAAACAATAAAATCACAACAACAACATCTCCAACGAATGTACCTGCCCCAAATGGGACGATGACAAAACCAACAACAACAACAATAACAACAACAACAACAACATTACCAACTGCATCAACAACTTCATCCATATTGAACTCATCATTGTACACAACAACAACAACATCGTCATCGTCCATGCAAAAAACGCGAAATCGCCATCCGTCCATTCCGGTGTACGCGTCTGCGATCTCTAATTGTTCTCCTTCCACTTCTACTTCCTCCGCTCTTCTTGCATTCTCTTCTCCTTTTTCATCTTCTTCTGGAATCTCTGCGAACTCGTCGGAAACTCAAACCCATGGGGCATCCTCAATGCGTGTCGTTGATGTGCGTGCCTCTTCCTCTGTCCCAACGACGGAGCCGTTCAACACATTGAATGTTCTTAATGAAATGAACAACAACAACAACAACAACAATTATAATGATAATAACATTATTTTGACACACTCGACTGATGGCAACTTGATTTGTGATAATACCAATAATATAACAAACAACAATATCAACAGCAGCAACAACAGCAACAACAGCAACTACCATCAACCATTCAATTCTATGGATTTTGGACAGCAGCAACACTTGCGACACCACCTACGCTTTAGCAATAATGGTCGTGGCAGCATGGATAATGGTGGTAGTCATGGTGAATATAACAATAATAACAACAACAACAACAATTACCGACGCCCTGGCGGAAATCAAAATAACAGTATTAGTGGTAACGGTAACTCTATGATGCAGCACCGCCATAATGGCGAATATTATGGCAGCAATCATCACAACCAACAGAATCACTATCAGTACGGTGAGCAGAATCGTCGGCATAACAACAACAACAACAACAACAACAATGGCAACGGCAGTAATGCATCTAACTCAGGATTATTTGAAAGAAATAATAGCAACAGTGGCAATTTGAATGGCAATACCAGCAGTGGTATGAATAACATGGTGAGTATTTTTTCGTTAGCGCATAAACATATGTATGTATATAAATGAACATTAGGGTGTCTCAGAACATAAGAGGCTAATTTTATTTTTTTTTGCCCTTTTTTTTGACCCTTGGCCTTACGAGCATCTACGAATTGGAATTTTTGTTGCTGTATGATGAGCGTCTAACGCGCGCTAACATGTGAACACCTTGAGCAAAATGCAAGGCAATGTAAGCGCGCGTTATCAAGACACTCCTGTCGTCATGTGAAGGGGTTTTTAGATACCCACGCCGCGCGAAAATGTGTTCATACTTCTCACACAGTGATGAATACAGCATTTGTGCGATAAACGAGCTCAATCTTAGTAACAGTGGCTCAAAAAAGTGTTCACGTGTTTAATTTTTTTTTTTATATTCACAATATTTTTCGAGGTAATTTTTTTTCCTACAAAAATGAGTTCCAAGCTTTAGTCGAAACCATATAAATCAAAGTTTCAAACTTTATACAAAATTTAGGAAAAATTCAACAAAATTTAGAGCTTTTTAATATGAATATTTACAACATTTTTGTGTATGCCGTTTTATAGCCCATACAATTTTAGTCTAAAGAAGTGTAAGTTTCAATCGGCATACAGTCCCGCAGACTTTTCGGAATTTTTTTAGTGACTGCTTTTGCGGTGCTTTGTACTATAACCAGTGTAATTTACAAAAACTAGCGTGGATTTTTACAAAATTCATTGCGAACGGTCTCCCGAATTTTATTTCATAAGAAACTAATGCTTATATAGAAACAAATGCGAAAATTCGTCAGCAAAAAAAAAAGAAGAAATTATTACAAATCAACGCGGTTTTTTAGCCACTTAAAAATTGCACTTCATGACGCCAAGGCTTAAATAACATGTTTTAGAAAAATTACAAAAAAAATGTACTTTAAAAATGTTGTGAATATTAAAAAAATGAACACATGAACACTTGTTTGAGCCACTGTACATGTGATTTTAGGTTATCAACATGCTATTGGAAGTTAAAAAAAGTGAGAGTAATTTTGTTAATTTTATTATGTACATACGTTATTTAGGTGAAAAGGAAAAAATAGGGATATGGATATCGACCCAGTGGGAAAAGGTAATGCAAAGGAATACAAAAAGTAACCTACGCACGAAAAGAAGGCAAGAGTTTCTCCACAGGAGTCTCATACGAAAGTATGCATTGCGCTTTACGAAACCATAAATGGAATTAAAAAAAAATAATAAAAAATAAATACAAATAAAAAATGAAGTCCGTGCCACAGGTTTTGAACCCGTGACCAACACAACACGGCAGTCGAACACCCATCCAGCTGTTGAGATAACGTGAAACAAACGTTTTCAAACTTTTTGTTTCGTTTGCGACTTCAAAATTACACTCATCCGCTCGCTTACATTGCGATGTAATTTTTCGTTCAGCCGTACTTGTTAATCTTTTCTTGGTAGAAAAATGGAATGAATTCCCATTTTCCCACTGGGGAATTTCGGTACAAAAATTTGACTATTGTTCTGCAACACTCTAAAGTATGTATGTGTGTTCCCTAATACTGTGCACTCCAGTCCAATTTTGAAGATTCATGCCGATTTACCTACATATTTTTTCACAGCACTTTGATGGCCATAACAACAGCAACCATTCCCGGAACGGGGACTTCCACAATGATAATCGTCCTGAACGTGGAGGAGGAGCAGAGCTGAATATCAGCGGCGCCGGTAGCAGCAATGGGTACGGTACTTTGCGTAATGGTAATAATTATGGCCGTAACGGGCATCAGAATGGTGGTTCCGGCTCCTTCCATTACCACCACCATAATCATTACAACAGCAACGGACCCTCAACTTCGGCTGTAGCCTTAGCTGGTGGCAGCAGTAGCGTTGCCAGCCTACTTGATGGACCGACTGGCTCTTCTGGTGCTTTAGGATCCACCACTTCGCTCAGCAGCGGGCCCAACGGTTTGAAATCGGACAGTCCTTCGCGCAAAAGACGCCGCATTTCCGGTCGCATGCCCAGCCAGTCACCGCCTGCAATTTGGGAGCAACGACGCTCGCCTCGCACTCAGGTTAGCGCGCCTACATATGTACATATATCTGAGAGGAACTATGAGATGCTATTTAACTGTTTTATGGCTTCTTTTTCAGATGCAGCAGGGAAGTCCACCGATACGACGGCCACGCTTGCGAGAGCCTGGACCGTCACAGCAAGTGCATGGTCACCACATAAACAACACTGGCAATGGCAGTAATANTTTTCAGATGCAGCAGGGAAGTCCACCGATACGACGGCCACGCTTGCGAGAGCCTGGACCGTCACAGCAAGTGCATGGTCACCACATAAACAACACTGGCAATGGCAGTAATAACAATAACAATAATACCAATACCGGCAGCAGTAATCATTTCCAGAGCTATCACCAGCCACAGCATTCTTTACAGCATACGCCATATTACTTGCGCCAACATATGCCGC